ACTCTGGAGACCAGACTTTTGAAACAAAATGGGAATTCAGCATTCGGGCACTTCCAGCCCACTAACTGCATCCCAAGGAGAACCTGCTGGGCTGTCAGGCAGCCCTTCTAACAGCAACTCCTACACAAGGAAAAATAAATGTAAAAGCTACATCCCTTAGCAATGACTCTGGAACCTGACGCAGGAACAGGTGTTACACCCAAACTTGTGATTGTAAAAGCGCTGCACAGCTCCTACCCCTTCTACAGCAGTGCCTAGATCTCATGATTTTTGAAGTGTCCAAGGCACTTACAATTTCACTTTAGTGTATGCCCAGCAGCACTCACAGTTCAACCGCAGAGTACCCATGCTCTCAGCTCATGCTAAATCTCTAGCTCAGGCCAGGGAGCAGATGTTCAGGTGCCCATTTTGCCTGAGGAACTTAACCAAATAAGAGTGCCGAGAACACGCCAAGCTCCTGATGTTCACGAATCCCTGCTTTGGGGCACTGAGAAGCAAAAGCATCACCTACAAACCTTAGAAAAAAACCATGGGGGCACAAGGAAACGTACAGCGTGAGGGTGAAAACAGTTCAAGACAGAGATTTTCTCACAAGGGAAAGAAAGGAAGCTCAAGCTCAACACAGCACAGAGGCAGTGCAAGAAGAGCTGCTAGAAGTGAATCGTGTTAAAACAGGACATGCTGATAGTTCAGGGACAGATGGGTTAGTAAGGTATCACAGGGAAAGGAGAAGAGTACTCTGGGTAGGAAGGACATGCCTGCAGAGCAGGAGGACATTGGTGACAGACAACATGAAGGCATGTTCCAGGGATACGTGGAGAACCAGGGAGAACTCAAGTGCCAAATCTCACCCCGTGTCTACCAGCCCTTACACTGGGTTCAGTTTCACAAATCCCTTTCACTCCAGGCACAGTTCAGATTTTCTGTGACACCCATCAGTGATGCTCCTTGCCCCTAACATCCTCTGTCACTTTGCAAGTAACAGTAGCACCGATCATCAGCTGCTTCCTACACCAGCCTCTGGAGCTCCTACCATTTTTTCTCATACTCCATGTAATTCTCAGCAGATCCATCACCTAGCAGAGCATGCTGGGATTTCTTTGGTAGAGGGTGTTAGAAGCAGTGGCTGTCAGATTCATAAAGTCACCATGGAAAGCACATGTATACATCCACCAGAAGAAAACACATGCTAAAAATGGGGCAGTAGGCACTACCACCAGTACTTGAGGTAGCATCGCCACGTCTACACAATATTGACACCTGATCTTTGCAGTTGCTCAAATGACTTGTGCAAGGGAGGCAATAGCTCAATAGTCCATGAACATCTTCCTTCACGAATGTGTTAATATACTTACTTTTTTCTTCACTGAATCTGTTAAGCTCCCTTAATCCTGCCATCAGTCCTGGAGCTGAACTCTGGCTTCTTGCTCTGGTACTTACCCCCTCTCCAGGGTATAGGACACGGCAACAGTTTTACATGGTGTTTAAGTTGATGTCTTGCTGTAACGTGAGAGGTGTGTCCTTGGGAGCACTCTCTTCTCTGTCTTTACTAAGGGTTTGACTTCTGTTTGCTACCAATGTTTGGGCAATAACTTTGCTTATAAAATGAACTGTCAGGCACACAAACATGGGCTCTTACCTCCACTATCAGGCTGCTTCCTTGCTAGTATGGTCCCTTGACTACATGTGTTACTTAATGATCTGTGACTGTCAGCACCTTGGTCCTGGGCAGCTGTCTTCTCAGAGAGCCAATACTGAATGCCTGAGAAGGGTGGGAAAAGGAGTGGTGAAAGAGCGGAGTGGTCTCTTCCTTCCCAGCTCAGGGTTGTTTTGTTTGCCATGAACTCTCTCTCAATGCAGTGGGCTCTTTATTAATAAACTTCACTCCCCTCTCCTCCTGTACCAGCTTGCTAGGACATTGGGAAATACCTGGCAGTGAGCAGGGAACTCTGTGATACACACTGCTGTTTCTTCTGCCCTGACATAAGAAAGCATCTTCCCACTATGGGCTGAGTTCAGGGAATAGCAGAAGTGAGTCCTAGAAGACCTAGGCCCTTAGCTGTCATGAGGTGTGTCAGATTCCCAATAAATTCTACACTGCAATTTAATGCAACTTTTCAGAGGATATTTTTGTGGCTACGCAGACTCAGCCCTTGCTACTCAGCCCTTGCTATTTTAAGGGAAGCAACTTTGTCCCAACCACTTGCAACATTCAGCTATCTAACTTCGTTAACTAATTAGAGGTCATTATGATGACAAAGGTTACATGGGCCAAATTCCCAGTTAGTTCATAAGATGGTCCAGCCCCATAGCTGGGTGCTGGCAATATCTTTAAGGAAGAATGAGACATTTCTGTAAATACAGAAATACTGCTCTCCTCTCTCTTCACCTTGCAAACCCTGTTTTCTATCAGCTTGTCTTTTTTGGATTGATTCTCCTCCCCTCACACTCTGTGATTAAACGTTCTCCTCTTCCCAAAACTTACTGTCTGCAGTGCCTTTTGCCTGGGCTCAGAGTCTGGACAAGAACATGCTGGAAACAAGCAGTCTTGCACTGCTGTTCTGCAGCATATGAGCACGCAGAATTGCTGCGTTCTCCTCATTTTACATGCATGCTGTCTTGAAAGCAGATCCTGCAACTTGTTCTGCTCAGCCACGGGTATCTGTGCAAAAGAGGGAGAAGAGAGGAAAGGCTTCTAGTCTGCTATCGTAGGATTCCTTTCATGCTAGGCCTCAGGATAGATAAGTCTCCCCCTCATGGCAATCAAAACCTCCCTATACTCCTGCACAGGCATGTCAGGCCTCTACTACAGCGGCTCTCCCTGCAGGAACCAGACCTTTAGCAGTTGGACCTTGCAGCACTGAACTAAATTTTAACCCATTCACCCACAGCTGTCTGTATTTTACCAATAATTTGTTAGGAATAAAGAAACTGAATCACCTGAAGCAATTTGGATCAATTCTCCAACTAATACAGTTAATTTTTTTTACCAATGGCCTTTTCTTAAGATGAGCTATGTATAAAGCATGACTGTACAAATTTAAGAAGAAAGAAAGAAAGAAAACCCCTGAAAAGAACAAAGTAATTCTGTTTTCTGCAAGCACACAGTCCAAGGAGATGATCCACCACAAAGGATTAACAGCACACTGAAGAAACTGTAAAGTTAATCTTTGACACAATGAACTCCAGACTTGATACACAACTCTAGGAGATGTTTATTTTCTTAACTGTGTCCCAAGAGCCTGTTTTTAGAAAACTGAAACAATCTGATTCTTCCAGGTATGTGTATATAGCGTACATTCAACACCCAGCAAATGGACATTTTCAGCCTCTGAAATATTCTGTGTTCCCTGCTCACATTAACAAAGTGAATGCATGAAAGCACTGGGTTCCCTTCTGCTCAGAACAAATAGCATCTTCCTGTGCACGCCTAAATAGAAAACATCATTACAAAACACCACCAGGAGGCAGTGTATTAAAACATTTGTGCTATAAAAGGACATCCACAACAATAAAAAAAACGCCAAACCCCAAAAAACTCTTCCCCCTCCCAAATCTTCAAACTGATATTTAGCAAATGTATTCTCCCCATCCTCCTCCTCCTCATTGTGCTTTATACACTGACCTCTCTTCTTCTCTACATACCTGAAATTAGTAGCAATTCCACTGTTGTCAAACAGCTTACTGCAGGCGCACAGTTAAAATGGAAGTCAAACTGATTTCTGGAATAGCATTTAGTGGAAAAAATGAGTAAACAAGTAGGTAGAAGTGATATGACAAAATATAAAACCTCCCAACAGACTAAACCGCTTTTGCTTCCTCTGGGGTTTACCAAAACATTCCAAACCTCTGAGGTCTCTCCTAACTATTTTTCTTTTTGTTTACAAATACATCGCAAAATGCCACCCAAAAGGAAGCACTGAAATTTTCACAAACCCAGGAATACGCTCTCGCTCCTTCGACAGGCGGTACTCCTGGATCACTGCCACACCAACGCCGCTGCTACAGGTCTGGCTTGCAACTACGCTGCCCCTGGCACAGAACCAGAGAAATGATCCAGCTCTGCATTTCATGACCCATGAAAGCTGCAAGTTGTCTCCTCTCCTCCGCCCCCTCGGTCCTTCTTTTCTGCTGGTATAAAGGACTATTCTCAGTTGGGGCTCAGCATAGCATAAGAGCCTAAAATCACTACAGATGTATATGAAAGCTTTTAAACTGCTACGTTATTTTAAGTGCTAATTATTTATGAACTTAATGCGTTTTACAGTTTGCAATGCTAAACATACAGTAACTGCTCTTACAGAATCTTGTATTACAGGCTAAGCATATGAAACACAGTAAGGGAGCTACAGAAATGTGCAGACTACCTAAAACATTTCTAAATATGCACTTATAAAAACAAAATCTATCAATAAAGTCCAGCATAAATGCTGTGCAATTGGGTCCTCAGGAAAGGCAGTCCAGAACTAACCAAAAGACAACGAAAGCAAACACTTGTATTTTCAAACTGCAAATTTGGCTCGTAAGAAACTGCATCTGTGTCTCTGACTTCTTAATTCAAACAGACACCACACATTTTCCAATGCAAAAATCACAATTAATTGGGAAATTAAAACACAAGCACAATGTCAGCAGAAATCACAAATTTATTAATCCTTAAATATATCAATCATTTACCATTATGGCAAGAAATATGTACACTGTGTCCCATGGTAAACTGCAGTGTTCCAAAATGACAGAAGTGTATAATTCAATTGTGGTGGAGAGAACAAATCACAATTTCCTCACGTCTTGGTGTGGAAGACAAACTTGGTCTACAGTAATACGTCAACACCACATGCTATGTTACAAGTATAAAAAAAAAACCACCCTACACCTAATTTGTTAATTTTAAATACAGTTATGCCACTTATAGCCGCTTCACAAAAAAAAGTAAAGAAATTAATGAGAAAAAAAATGAGGCCATTACTTTTTTCACAGATCCCATTGGCAGGTTAATATGGCTCAACACATTTATTGTAGATGCTTATTTTAAATATATATTGTTTAAAATCATGTAGTAATTATCAGAGAAGCTTAAATCCATCTACCATACATCCACTAGTAACAACATCAAAATGTTTAAGAACTGCTTTTGATTAGTAATCAACACAGAAAGGTGAAATGATACAAATTAGGAAGGGTTCCCATTTTAAAAACTCCAGGCTGCCGAGTTGTAAATTTTTAACCGCTAAAAAGAATATTGATTGAGATATCATGCACTATACAGCGCTGCAGAAAACAGTTAGCCCTGTTGGTAACAGAACAATTAACAAAAGAAAAAAAAGAAATAACCGATCCCTGTATTTTTCTATTAAAAAAGGAAGGGAACAAACCTAAATGCTTGCAAGGATGTATTTTCACAGCAACATAAGGGAAGCAAGTACAGTCCCTATCACAAAGCTTGTGTTCTGAACTGACACCGAGAGCATTCCCTGTGCAGCGTACAGGCGTTCGCAGCAACGGATCAGGGGCCAAACCAAGTTGGTAATGCTGCGAAGATTGTTGTCCTTGATACTGTACGCTGCACAAGGATTTTAAGAAACCAAGAGCAGATTGAGGGGGAAGAGAGGGGAGAAACAAATCTGTGGTAAAGTGTTACAATCTTCTTAGAAAACCGGTGTATCCATAATACATTTCCAGAGAAGCAACAGCAGCAGTGTAAAGTAAGTAAACTCTTCATACTAAGCTTTTAAGGCCTAATATTTCTCGAGTATATTAACCACACAACTGGTCTATAGCTGAGCCAAAATTCCGTATTTTTTAAAGCCTCCTTAAAAAATTTACAGTACACCTAAAAGCGATTAAAAACCTTTCTCTATTCTTTCATTTTAATCCTCAAAATCTGCTCCTCAATCACCAGTTAGTTCCTTACAATTTTTAGTTTTGCTTAATCATCCAACAGAAATTTTCAATTAGCATAGTAAGAAAGCAAAGGTAAAGACTGAAAAGAAAAAAAAGAAGCTGCTGGCTCACCGGAACATTGACAGTTAATTCTGAATTGACGAAGCCAGCAAATGATGAAAGTTTTCCAGTTTACACAGACTAATAAACTAAGAAGGCTTCAGCTGGTATAAAGCCAAGATATTATCACTTCCACATTTATCAGTGATTTCGTCCATCTACATGCTGTAATAAAAATCTGTTTTACAGTAACGGAGCTGCCAGCGGAAATCCTAACCATTCCTACCAGAACCAAAGCAAAACCCTGGGACTCAGGGCAAAAGGAGGATTCAAAAAACAGTTCTTAAAAAAAGAGGGTAAAATGTACTTTTTTTTTCTTTTTTTTTTTAATAAACAGGATAATTTTTAAAGTTGTCTGTCAAAACTTGGCATAAATGGAGAAAGTGACAAATGTGTTCTGTATCTACTGCTGTCCAGCAAATATTATTTTTGTCTTTTATGCCTTGTTGTTCTCTATTTGCATGGAACATTACCTTCATTGAAATGTTAACAGTGTACAGATGGAATATACAGCAACATGGTGCATCACAAATGTGTTACATGAAGAACCTTCACAACTTCATGCACTCAGAAACATGCATGAAGAGAACGGGATGGCCAAGATGGTAATCAACCAGGTGCGTTGGGTACAGAAAATGCAAGAGCGGCACCGCTGATATTTTTAGCTACGAGGAAGGAGAAAAAAAAAACAACAGATTGCAATTACTGAAGTAACACCACTACCAGATAACAATACATGCTCATGTGTTAGCCAATACTATTAAAAAAAAATCTGAAGATCATTTAACACAACTTTGTGAAGAAAACCAGGGAGGGGGGGGGGAAACCCCAACGCTCAGGCAAAGCATGCTTTTATTTTTCAAAACACTTTACAGACATTTCTCCATCTTTACAACATGCCAGAGAGGCTGTTAAAATAAAAAAGGAAACAGAGGCAGGAAGCAAAAGTGCCTTAACCGATTTCTTAAAGGAAGGAGGGCAGAATTCAGATGTGAGTCTCTGAGTTTAACTTACTTCCTCAGCACGTACATTACAGACACTGCCACGGACTGAGATTCTCATACAAAAATCGAATCAAGTAACAAGGAGGAATCAGATGTCATTTACATGCAAGACATGCTAGAGCCATACACAAAGAGAAAACGAAAGGAAAGGAACACGTAAGCAAGTAGTTAACTAACTCAGCTTATAATATCATTTGTATTACCGTAGCATCTAGGGGCCGAAGTCATGATTGGGATCCCGCTGTGCTAGGCACTGTACAAACACAGAACAAACTCTTTACTTAAGTCTTCCCGCTGTTCAGTATTTAACTTATGAAAGTATAAGAAGGTGTAAGGTGTGATAAGTGAGGGACTATAAGCCTGGGAGCCTCAGGTCTGAATTTAGGTTTGGGAGTCAGTTTTAGATCCAATAGCCCTTTGACTGCCCGCATCATGCAGGTCCACTCTATGTGTATATGCAGACACAGTTCTGCAGAAACACGTTACCACAAGTTCTTAAGAACATGGAATACAGAAAAAAATTTCCTACCATCAGTCATATCACTCAGAGAGAAGCAAAGGACAAGACAGAAACCAAAGTTTGTCTTGTCTGACTTGCAGCAAAAACTACAAATAAAACTTATTTGTAAACTAAAGATACATTTGTGCTCATATTCTTTTCCAAATAAATTGTCTGCATAAGGAAACATTTCCATATACCTGTAACTACCAAAGAGTTCAGTTCTTTCCTTAGACTTATGCACACTCCTTACCATAGTTCTGAAAACAAACAAGCTACTGTGCTTGCAGCAACTATTTGACATCATCTAGGATACGGCGTTTGCAAAAGCAGATCACAGCTATAATTGCTTTTGCAAGTTTATTAGATTTGAAATTCTTCTTCAGACTTTGTGTGTAAGATACTTTTTTATTGTGGAAATGCCATTATTAACTGCTGTGTATTGGCAATAATTAAATAAATAGCTGCAGACTGTATACATTTCAAATACGAGAAAAAAAAAAACGGAATCATAATCTAGAACACCATTTTAATTAAATTTCTTCTGTAGTTTTCCAAAATGGAGTTATTGGTACACTGCTGCTCTGACTGGGAAAAGTAAAGGTGAAGTTCAAGGCAGTCTAAAAAATGGTCAGGATGGGTTATAGAAGGCAAGTTCTAGCATGGCACTACATGGGAATCCACCAGTTAAACCTGAGCAGATGGGGATTAAAGAAAGAATATGTAAAATAACTAAAAGACACATGACAATGCTTGGGCTGAACAGGGAACTATCAGCCTAAAGGAGACTCACTAGTCTTTGCCAATGACCTGAGCACAAGCAATAGGATTGATCTCACATAGTATACTTACACTTAGAGGGAAGGCACTATAAATACAAAGGAAAACAGGAGTATTGTGCAAGAAGAACCAAGTAATCTTGAGGGCTGGGTAATCCAGAAATGTCACATGTAATAATAGGAAGTACAAAGCTGCACGGTCAGCAAAAGTTTCTATATACTCTTTGGATGGAAATGACAATTGAGGATAAATACATGGGTGTCTTAGATGATCTGCTGATGTGATGCAGATGACAAAAGTGCAAAAATCACACCAGAACGTAGCAGTTGTGGCGTTCTCAACAAGGAAAAGAAAGACATTGTGAATTTAAATAAAGCCCTGACCACAAGTGTACACAGTATTTCAGAAGAACCCAAGCTAATGAAAAGACAAACCTCAAACCAGAAAAGACAGTGAAGAACTATTAAGGTAGCCAGGAAAATGGAGATCCTATCAAAAAAAGGCAACCAAGTTAGCATTGTTTATTTATCCTATGAAAATAGAAGGTGGGAAGTAACCTAATCACCCTTCATATAAAACAGCTCATGTCTGCATACCTATCCCCAGTATAGGAGAACAACGATGAAATAAGAATAATCAAGGATACACTGAAAACGACTAAAATTAATTCTGGAAAGTAAGGTTTCTAACCATCAGACCAATGATATTTTAGAAGAGTGATATGAGCAAGTCCAAAAAACCTGCTCTGAATTCAAGATGAGGGTTAGGTAAGGGATTTATGTGATATTGTTGCCAGTGCTACATGGGGGCTACATATCTAGGGCTATGTTGCAAGCTCAGAGCATCTCTCCTTAAGCCTTAGGCATGCTCTAAGGCTTTGAGCCGCTACTCCTTCTCTGACCTTTTCAGCTTGGATATCCTCTCGCAATCCTGAAATTTCCTCTGTCTGACCCCATAGGCTCAGAACACCCACTGACATAGACGCAACCCTGCACTCTCAAAAAAATTACCTCTCAGCTTCCTCTCCTGCCATCCTTATCAGAAATCCTTATCTCTATTAGAGAGCATGAGCAGCTGTAAAGAACTGACATTACACAAGTCCTAAATACTGGCACAGCTTCTGAGAGGCAAATCTCAGTTCTGTATGTATGACTGCATTCCTTTGAGACGTGCAGTCTGAAGGGCCAGGAGTTGCTCTGCGGCAGCTACTGCATGTCCTTTATATTCCAGAGAAACTACCTCTGGCGAGTGTTCGTAGGAGCAGTATGTGTCACAGCACACAGCAGCCCATCGCACAGGTACAAGTTACGTGAACTAAGTATTAAGGCTCCTGTTACAACATTGCACCTCAAAAAGAAGCTGCAGAAGCTATTCTTTGTAGCTCTATGAAGTATTACTGAAAGAATTATCACAAGAATTATTGGGCAAATTCTATAATATTCCATGAAAATAGTAATAAGATGGCTATTTTGTTGCCTTCTGGTTTTGGTGCGTAAGAATGAGTGTTATAAATTACCTTTTCTCTTTAGGATTGTTTCCTGTAAATATGGTTAAATTAAAAAAAAAAATAAAAAAAAAATTGACCCCCCCACCCCAATCATTCTCAAAAAACAGGGGGATGACAGGGGGATGGGACGGGACACCAAACAAAAGAAAAGATCAAATAATTCTCTAGTCCAATTGATTTCATTCTGCTATAAACACTTACTGTCCAGTGTGCACTGGGACAGGTGAACCTGTTTCACTTATGCTTTCTGACTCTACACATACCCAGCTCAGATCCCTTGACAAAACAGTCCTCTATGAAAACATCAAAAATCTGCATAACACTGCATTTCAAGAAAATGTAACTACTCTTTCGATATTATCTGTTGAAACACTGGCAGTGCAGCTGGAATGTGAAAAACAAAGGACAACATGGTTCCTGCTCCCATTGGTTTCACATCTTTAAATAAAATACAATAGTTATCACTAGATAATTGATTACTTTTTTCCTAAATAAAATAAAAAAAAAACCCAACTAAAAATTTCATCCCCACTGATGTTTAACACTTCATTCTGTCATGTTCCTTACTTTATCTAGTATTATTTCATATGGGAGAATAGTGTTGCAAGTAAAATATGGGTCATGATGAAGTTTGAAGGATGAAATCTAAGCTCTTAACATCCACACCAGGAAATTTAGCCACTATCCACATTAAGACGCCTCACACAGATGGAATTACAACCTACAAAGACGGCTTGCACCTGAGCAAACCACGGCCTATACCAGTGCTGCCTGATTTGGAAACAGCCTAACCTAAGCCAAAAGTCAGTGAGGTTGGGCCCCGAGGGACACAGCACCATTAGCGAAGGCTGCAAGCAGAAGAAAAGCAAAGGACTTGAGCAGAACCTCTTGAAGAAGCTGTGACTCTTTATCCTGCTATTGAAACTACAAGCGTGCTGTAATTTACACTGCTGAAAGTCTGGCTCAAGGAATTCAGGTTTGCGCGCGCTAAGCCATGGCATGACTCCCAGGGTATGAGAGGGCATGCAGAGATGCCCGAATGAACGAAAGAGAGATCTGAGGCTGACCCACACGGATGTCATAACTATCAGACAGTGACTATTGAGCAGTTAAGCAAAGAGAGTGTGGGAAAAGAGATAAGAATGTGATAGGTACTTGTATGGCTTAATTTACAAAGTAAATACGTAAACTGGCTCAAAATCAACTTGCAGTGAACATAACTAGGCCTGAGTAAGTAGAGGTGGCTGGAAATCGCAACAAATATTACTCAAACTTCAGTTTTTCAGAACAGTGATACTTTTTTCCTGGAAACTTTCCGATCAGCCCTAACAGCTCCATGTATCCTATTGCTTTTTATTTTTTCAGGTTTTCCTGAAATTCTGTTTCAGGTTTTCCGATCCTATTTTGTGTGACTTGTATCAAGCCTTATCTACCTACATTAAAACATTTTTCTGCTCTTCAAGCTGTCAGTTCAGGGACTGAGTTGGATCAGTGGGCATCACAGTTGAAAAAAACAACAAAGAAAGCATTATTTTAAAAACATTAGCACCAGCTACATGCACACTAGTGAATAGAACACACACTTGGTAAATGACCACAAAAAATTGTATGATCAAGAGGATGGTTTCATAGTTTTTAAGGCCAAAAGCAGCTATTAGACTATCTGATCTGACCTATGTAGTTTAAGCTTGTGATCTGAATTGTTTCTTACTTGATAGGTACTGTTGGTGACCCTGAACGGTGAAAATGAACGTTCTGCCACTTCCCATCACGACGGTGCCAGACCCGTGTTTCCTCTGACTGCATAGTCTTTGGCATCCCACTTCCATCCATGTACTGTGTGAGCCGTATATATGCAATGCAAGCAGCGTCGTCACCCACGAGGTGGACATGAGGATTGAGGATAATGGTGTGGATTGGCTTATTACTTTTGGATAAAGCTAGGAAGCAAACACATACATAGAGGATAAATTAAATTTTCTCTATGTAGGCCAAAATAACTAATCTCACCCCATTTTACAATACAAGAATCTCAAGCTTAGCAGATAAGTAATAATTATTGTTTACTGGTAATCACGACTGACAACTAGCTCAAGTACACTGTAGAAATGAGCACAGTCACAGCATAAAGTATGTTTTCCCCTTTCCTATGAGGAAACCAATCAAATGTTTAATAGTATATATTATTTAATCCATGTGCATACATGGATTAAATAAAATGGGGGCCACCATCTTGAGTTTCCCAATACTTCAGTTTCACTGCTGTATTTAATGTCTACTGACATTTGTACTTAATATTTTCAGTGAAAATAATTCAGCTTTTAACTCACTCTTGTGACATATTCTATTAAGTGCTGATATCTATGAAAACTAAAAAGCTGCAGTAATGAAAGGAAACATTTTAAGGAAAAATATGGAAAAAGCTGTTTTGGAGATGGAAGAGAATTTAGGAATACAATAATCCCATTTTATGCTCAGACATTTCTCAAAAATTACTGGATAAGCTGGTATCTTCATTTACAATATTTTATTTCCTGTTGAGTCAAGTCTGCTCTAAAATGGTTACCTACGTTACACGATCCCCCAAAACTTTATTAAATCTACTCTATGGGTAATTTTTCTTTCTTATACCTGGCATGATTGTAATATATATATATATATGAAAAATATATATATTGATGTTTTCATATATACACACACACACCCCCAATACAAAAAAGACAGCCGATCAGATCCTCAGCAGTACAGACTGAGTGACTACAATGTCTTCCCTAATACATCACATACTAACCAGAAGTGCTGACTGTTAGTTGCAATCACTGCAATCACACGACCTTTCTTTTAAGTACACTCACAGCATGGTTTTCTCATTTCCCCAATAGAAAAAAAATGTATGAGAATTACTTATCTATGGTTTGTTTGTTTTTTCTTTTATATATCTTGACTTTCTCTTTCCAAATACCTGAAACTTTCCGCCACTCTCCAAGGTATCCTATGATGTGTGAACGAGCACAGCAAAAACAGACAGAAAAACATGTAGAGCAGAATTCCCTTCCCCTGTCCAACTCAATTAACTCCCAAACCAAAATGCTAACTAGACTGCAGAAACACAGTCACAAGGAACAGATGAAGATTCACAGATATGAAAAAGAAATGTTTACCATTTTCAAAGTAAAACCGGTGAAAGTCCATCCCTTCTACTAGATTACCCAAAGCTTCAGGTTCAAAAGATGTAAGGCCCGGATCACAGATTTTTCTGCAGAAAAGAGGAAATTCTGTAATAAACACATGCAGTTATGCAACACAACTTTGGAGAGATTACTTTTTAAATTTTTCTTTATTCCCCTCAGACTTGTTACTTACCTGTGCCACCACACTGGAAAAGAACAGAACTTAAATGGGGAGAAGTAATGGAGTTCTGGTTTCACCTAAATTAGTAAATTTGACGGCTTACTTTAGGTGGACTGGATTTCATATAAACCATCTTTTGACCAAAAAAAAGCCTGCCAAAGAAGGCTCCACAAGTCAATGGTATTACAAGTAGGAATTTTTACTTGTGACTCTGAAAACTGCCTCTGTGCAATCCAAAGGATACTTTTAATGTCTCACATCATTATTTAAGCAAGATTTAATTTTTTTTTTAACTGACAAAATTTAGGTAAGAATTTGAAATAAGTTTCCACTTGACATTTGTACAACAAAGGTTTTAATGTGATCATACTAAACAAAAGTTTAGTGCTGGCAAGCCTTTAAACAGGACAAGCAGTGTCACTGTTGAACTGTGAGGCTTGTGCTGCAACAGGATAGAATCCACTCAGAGAAACATAAGAGGCCAAAAGAAATGCTGAGAAGGGCTTTCCTCTACTTTTGTAAATTTTTTTTCTGTGGTAGAAAGAGAAGAGAAGCAGTGATGGAACTGTGTCTTTGCAGAGAAAAGCTGAGAGGGAAAGCGGTCTACTTTTCCCCAGCAAATTCTCGCATAGTGCTCAGCAGAGGCTGGTGGACTAAATTCCATGTGGTCTTTCACGCTCTGAAGTACAAAAAGGATTCTAGCTAATATCAGTCTCTACATGCAATACAAAATTTCTGTTAAAAAACGCTTCTACTGTGTTTCTGGATTCTAAATCACAAACGTGACTTTACTTTCATGCACCAAGAGAGATCACTGCATATTCTGAGTCAGGATTATGGTCCTGTCTTGGCAGAGTAGTACATTAGATTTATACTAGCAGCTCCTCTGAAACTGGCATTTGTAAAGGCTCATATAAAGCCAGGGCAAAGCAGCAATGAACATGTCTTGTGTTTCTTGGGGGCATCTGAGAATGAACTTCAACAATACATAAATACAGACACACACACACTCGGATATAAATATACAGTCTCCAATACATCAACTCTCCTCACTCCCTCTGAAATGAGAAAACTTACGTGTAAGCTTCAAAGTCCCCATTGTTGATAGCTTCAATCAACTGCTCAGTAACCTTGATAATCTCCTGCTTACGAGCTAGAGAGAGACACAAATACAACTCTTAAAATGGAAGGCAAAGTGGAAGGTGACAGCTGAAAGGCTGTCAGAAGAACAGCCGCAACAAAGGTATTCTGTCATTCCTCAGCTGGCACAATGGCCATTTTTCTTCCTTTTCTATGACCAAAGGACATGGTGTTATATTGCTGCTTTACACTGATTTGGCCTCAGTGTACTCCTGTAGTCACGAGGAAATTAAACACATGTCAAGATCAATCCTCTTTCCTATCATGCTTGTATCTTCTGTCCTTCACTGAAGGATCTGCTGTTTAAAAAGCAAAGCAAACCCAAACCCCAACTCAACTTCAAATTAAAGGAAACTGATTATTGTTTTACAAGCAATGCTCTAATGTTTCACACACACATGGGGCCTTTACCTTTTAAGTGTCTAATGCTGATTTTCAGGAACCTTTGTAACACGTGATGTTTGCTTTGGCCAAATGTGTACATTTAAGTAAAGAGGAATTTAGGCCCTAAGACTATAATCAAGGTTGTCCGGTGCAAAGCTTGCAGATTACATATAACGCATACACATCCACACAGGTCTAATTACAACACAGTGTCTTTCGCCTCTGACTTCGGTGATTATGCCTATCCTTTGCTTGTAAAATGCTTAACGGATCTGTATTACAATTAGCCTCAATTAGATCACTTGGTGATAGTACAGTACATCTACGACTACTAATAAATGCTAAATAGTAACAGAAGAATAATTCATTAAAAACAAGCAGAATATGTATTTCTAGTAAGAATATTCAAACTCAAGCAGTATTTGCATATGCTTCAAAGGCAATAGTATGTGAAACAGTTTCTCCTCTATCTGTCAGTCAAGAAATAAGCTCGCAGTTCAGTATTTGTTAATGCTGATCCAAGTTACACTAAAACAGTGCAGAGTAAACAAATTCCTGCATGGTGGTACAGTTATTACCAATACCAGTTGCTCTAGGAGGGCAAAGTTGAAGAGACTTCATCAAGATGGAAGATCTTACTGAATTCACTTTGAAAACTGACTTCTACTTTTAAAAACTTGGGGCTTTTTAGGAACAGATGTTAACATTTTTGCACTGTACATTTCTCATTTGGTAAAGTTCAACCTTATACGGATGAAGTTCAACCACAGTGGCACTGCTCTCAAATACAGATTTTTTGTGAGTTTAATGCTAAATGGGTAAGGGAGAGAGATTTTACAGATATGTTCGTAAGGATTTAACTTAATTCAACTCCTTATGAAAACTCAGAAAATCAATTTGAAAGACCAAGCTCGAAATAAAAAGAAATGCAAGGAACCAGGCTGAAGTAGCTGTCTTGTGCAAGCAACAGTTGTAATTCTCCTGCACGCTCCTACAGGTGGACTAGACTATTAACACCCATGCAAATATGCTTGGAATGTTAAAACCAAAGTACTGACCTCACTCACATTCTTCTTTGAAAAGAAAACGTTGGGGAGCATAGACAGAATGTAAGTCTCCAATGCTGTACTGCAAAGAACTGGCATCGTGGTGTTAAAGAGCCTTTTAATTTATTTTATGCTCCACCATCTCTTTTAGTAAGTGAATACCTAATATATAAAAGCACCAGAAAGAAACCAGCAAGGAAAGAAATGATGGAGAAAAAAGTGTATATAAAGGTCTAGCAAGGCTTTTTGTGAGTAGCTCTTGACTACTAGATAGCATGATGGGTAAGACTATTTCAGTCTATTTCAAGTATGAATTGCCTCATTTTACACAAAGACTGTGGAAAGAACAAAGAGTCTTAATGAAGAGATGTTTTGACTGCAGATCAGCAATGGCTCCATTGTTATATGTTTAAATGACATAGACCAAACTGTGGACATTGTATGGCACTGTCAGCACAAGCCAAGTGGTAGGATGGTTGAGTAAGAAATAATGGTGCAGTGTTAGAAAAGGCTGGCAAAAAGAAATCCAGAATATGCAGACTTCATGCAGTGATGAAATCACAAGTTTTGCATGCTACATCTCATATACGTATAACTAAACTAAAGGGTCTGATTAAATAGCCCGGTAACACATTCCAATCAGAGACTAGGAAATTGCAGTCTATTAAATCAGACAGTGGAAAATGAGGTAAAAATCTCTGATGAGCTGCTACATAATCATGAGATCATGTTATTAGATAATTGTAAATGTAAGCAATGAAAATGTCTACAAAAGTACTGCAGTTTCCACACGCAAGAGACATAAAACCACATGAACACGTAATTTTACTTTCACTTGGCTAGAGACAATTGGCAATATTCCCTTTTTCACTAACATCAGTCATTTCTTTTTGGAAGTTTTACCAAAAGAAGCCCACAGTTAACTTACGTGTTATATATACTCTGACAAGGAACAGCAAACAACAGTGAATATCGGAATATATTCTATTACACAACATTCTGTGATCCAAGCCCAGAGGCTTATTAAAGGTGTTTTGTTTTGTCTTAAATAAATGGCGTGCAACACCTCAATTTAGTTGGATGGTAACCTGACTCCCTGGCATCTATTCATGCCTTCAATAGTATGAGTTAAAGGAATGTGAATGACAAAAGTTTCTTTCTGCAAATCTTTGAGATTTTGAGACTTGATTTCAATCGGAATGCAAATGGAAATTTTTGCTAACATACATTTTAAAAAATTGTTCTGGGTCAATCAAAATGTTACGCTTCAATCATGCCTTTGATGTTGTACTACATTACAAGATATAATTCAACATCAATCCAGAAGGAAGAAATTGAACCGTATTGCCAAATTTATCTTTTTCTTGGTTATTTTTCCAAAATAAATTTGCACTAGAGCACACGTTTTCATGTGGTCTTCTGATAGAAGCCACCTAGTATTACCGAATATGGTTCCAGCAAAGTTTCTGTGGGCAGTACTAACACCTACTATAGCTCTGTCTGCTGACCTGTCCATGGAATATAAACCACATCCATCAGGAAGCTCTACAGGCCAGCAAAGTAAGTAAAGGAGATTAAGGCAGTATCACTGGCTCTAATCAATCACTGTCCAACTCCAGCACTAGCATCAGTTCTTCCAGTACTTGTGGAAAGACTTCATGGTTCATAATGCAGACCGTCAGGAACAGAAAGATGTTGCCAAATCATCTGCCTTCTAACTCATTTCTCATTTTTTTTCTACAAAATTACAAGCACCACGTGAAACTGTATATGAAAGCAACTATGCTACTCCTCCCTTTCAGCAACACATGAATAATTACACACATAATAGAAAATTAGATTTCTTCCTATTTAGTGATCTGATATGCAATCTCATTGGCAGAAAGTGACTAAAAGCCAAAGACAGAGATGGAGCATAATTTAGAAGGTGGAGTTCCAGAAATGATTTATCCTGTGTGCAAAACCGTCCTCTCATTCTCAGCCCTTACTCATGTGAGATCAAGAATGAGCATTACAAGAAAAAGATGGTCAAGAACAAGACGGTATGAAATATTCAGTAACATCAGATATCAAAGAATAATTAAAAATCTCAGTAGCCACTGTGATTTTACACAAACCTTCTACTGATTGTTTTGGGGGATCTTTTTTATCTTAGCATTTTATACTTTCTGTGTAGGTACACGTGTGAGTGCAGGGACACAGAGTACAAATAGAGACCAAAAGTATTTCAGCCTATAAATACATTGTCTAGGAAGCCGAGGTTTAGCCTCGGAGGAAGGAAGAGGAAGGAGACAGTGAAGAACTGGAATACAACAAGCAGAAAACAGACTGGGAAGCAAAATGTAGCCATGACTTGGTGGCCACATGAATAAAGTCAAATACTTGTGCTTCTCCTTAGCGCAATAGGGAGGGCACTGAAGATGAACTAAGGTGAAATGGATACGGACAGGAACAAGGTCCTGCTATTGCAGACAACATCTGACAGAAATAACTAGCACTTATTAAAGTGGTAAGAAAATTACAAATTTTTCATTATAAATTTTATGGACTCCATGTAACATATGCTCTTCCAAACCTCCAGTTTCTTTTTCCATCTAAATAGACATTACAAACTACACAAGGACAACAAGTGAACACGCGAGGCGTTAGGGAAGAGGCATCTGGCCAGTTCCCATCTGTCAGATAACTGTCACTTACAATCACCATTTTCATCTGATTTTTTTCATATTTTATTTTGATCCAACAGTAAACTTTGCTTGTATTGAATTCTAGGAGAATTATGCTGTTCGACGTACAGTGGCAATTTTATGCTATTATACTTTTTTTTGATGTGCAGTAAAAACTTCCTAAATAACGTACTTCAGCTTTGGTTAAAGCCAGCCAGAGATCCGTACGCTCTCTCACAGCGTGATGAGACAATTGGACTGAACCAAAATGCGTGGTTTCTTTGCCATTATGAGCTACTTGTTTTACGGCTGTCTCATTCTCTCCCTTTAAAATACTGTCACGTGTTCAGAGTGCAAGGACTATATCTAGTCTTATGCCATGTAAGTGTCTGTCTGATAAATGACAAAAATACTCTATTTACAGGAGGAAAACTCAAAAATGGCAATGGAATTCTGGTAAAACTGGTTCAGCTACTTTTTCTAGGGGGTGTGGTAAGAGCCTATTGAAAAATTAAAGCCTGACCCGTCTATACTGTCTTAGAATATGGCAATGGCTTTCTATGGCATAAAATTATATAATCTTAGCAAAAATACATTTGGTGGTTTTAAAACAACTGAGGTGTGAGGGAAGAACATCGTTAAAAGAAGTCAAAGGTGCTGAGCCGTTTTCTTGAAAAACAAATAATGAAAAAGACCGCAGACAGTATACCAGAAAGCTACCATAAAATGGCAAACTTGTGTGGAAAAGATGGTAGATTTTACATTCCTTGCTCAGAATACCAATGAAGTAAATACATTAAAGAAAAGACCATGGACCTACTCTCTAAATATAACCTTTACCCCTGTAGGGTCAGTGAGTTAAGGTATTAAGATACTAGCAGTTCAAAAAAATACGACTCCTGCTTTGGCGAGTGGGT